GGCGTTTTGCTACGATTGAGGAGACAAAATAGATATTGATGAATAAATAAATATTTTTTGAGAAAAATGAAAATTCGCCTAATTTCTTGAACAGACCTCTTATGTGTACCATGTTCCTTGTAGTGAGCTATTACAGTTCGCTTAGTTTGACCAACATTTTTTTATCGCAATCCTCACAGTTTATTTCGTAAATCTCAGACTTTTTTTCGTCGTCTTATCTTTCGGGTAGTCGAACAATTGTTGAAGTGTATACGCAGTTTAGAATGCCACGTTCTTGTTTAATTTGTGGATTTTGATTCATGTATTGCTTTGAACGCTTACCTTTGAAAAGTTGAACAAGAAAATCATGAAGAGGAAGAATCACAATCAAAATGTTTATAAAATACCCTATCTTTCCCCTGTTAAGAAAATACACAAAAAAGTAATACACTTTTTTCGGAATTCTTAGATCATCTACATGAATTGAGGAAGAAATTGTTTTATTCGTAATCTCCATATAACTGGGATCGTAAAAATTATCCCGGGAACTCAGAAGTTCATCATGCTATTTCACTTATCTATTTGCAAAACTCTGTTTCATTAGGTATATAATGACAAAATAACACTTGAACCTTCAGCATCATAGAATGAATCTAACGAACATCGAGACGAACATTTTTATCCTAGTTCTTATCTCCTGTTCAAACAGGCTGGATGTGAGAAAAGTTTATTTCATACATTCATTTTACGGCAGAGGTTCCAATTCTATCAAACACTCGCTATAAAGTACTACATATACGTCACTTATCGTGTATGTCATTACTTCCACATAACCTATATGTGACATTTTTCTAAAAGCACGTTTCATCAACAAAGTTGGTAGAGACAAAAACTATCACATTTCTGGTGTGAAAGAAGTGTTTTTTAATTGTACTTATTCAATGGTATAGGTGGTAAATTTACCACGCAATAGAATATTTTCAGTTATCTCTATCCCCTTAGGAAAAATCTGTAGTGTAATATAATAATCGCGTAATTAGGTATTATTATTTGGAAGATCTTATTTTTTACAGCATACTTACATTACATACTTCAAATGAGCCGTGCATTGATATGATGTTTATCTATATTTAGAAGGTGATTAATTCATTATTCACTTTGAAAAATAATATGGTATTGGGCAGGTGGATTTTGTTGAAAAATGACTCAAGCGATGTGAGGTAATCTCTCCAAAATAAATAACTTGATACATACGACGTGGGATTTAATAAATATCAATAAACAAGTTGACACATTGTAGCAACAATATGTCGGCAACAACAGAATGACGACATCGATATAATGTTAAAAGACTGTCTTTGAAAGAAATATTTCAATTATGAGTCAATCATCTGGTTAACTACTCTCGCCTCAATGTACAATTATTATCATTATTTCCTAACAAAAAAACAGAAATGCTTCGTAACTCACAATGAAATCAGTTCGTAGCTAATGTGGATTTAACTTATTTATTTATGAGATTCTTTATTACTCCTATCAACTCGAAAAATAACTCCCTTCTCCCACATTGAATGAAAGGAAATAAAAAGTGTATACAATGAAAGTGATGAAAATATAATTTGATCCTAGCGCCATATAAAATTATGAAATAATATAAGATGGAATTTGCCGATACTTGATGAAAATTCATAACTTATGACAATAGCTTCCTCAATAGCGTTTTTATACTATACTATGCGATTTTGTAAACAGTTCAGGTGAAAATCTCACAAAGTGTTACTTGAATAAAAATAATTGAATCCCGGTAGGTGGAAATCGCACGTTAAAAGGCAAGATCTTGTGAATTATCGTGAAAGTTTCTATTTTTGAAGGTTGCTGTTCGTAGAGCGACACCAGACTTCTCTGGTCTATGAAACCGAGTATGTGAAACATGTTTCTTTCCCCTCATTATGCCATTCGGGTTCCCCAACGAGTGTTGAAGTGTATGAGCAGTTTTGGAAGCCTATTTGACTCTTCACATATGAAAGGACTATTTACTTTGATATTCGTCTTTCTGAAAAGTCGAGGATTCACGAAGACATTCTCTAAAATGTTGGTTTCCCAATTAACTTATGGAAATGCTTGAGTTTGTCGAGACCGCTATGTGATAACATGTTTTTAACTACGTTTGAAAAATTTGGAAATCGAAAAATGTGGAAAAAGATCTATGAACAGCGACAAAAGCCCCATTCCAAACACTCAATTCATTAGTCTCTTACGTAATAATTACAGGTAGAAGAGAGGGAAATATTGAATTTAAGTAGATTTATAAAAGTTGGGTAATTGAAAATATTGTTACGATATTTACTTGGGGTTCGTTTTTAAAACAACAACACTAATAATACTTAAGGCAACTTTTATTTACTTAATACACAACTGCTGCACTGATTATAATTCACTTAGAATATTCGCTTGCTTGAGACTTCGAACAGTATACCCCATCCACTCTTATTCCAAATCTTGGATGCTACGGCTTTCAACGAAGCCAATCTTCTTCTTATTCTGAGGGCTAGTATTAAGGTATCGTCCCGTACAAGAAAATAGGCCATAATACTGTATGCCTGGGGCCAGTCCGAGAAAGGGACAAACATCCAAGGCCGACGAAGCAGAACCAAAGAACGCCCCCACGAGTCAGATTTTCTTCCAGCAAGTTCACCGCAGAACAACTCGACCGCGATCCAATTATCCTTAGATTCACTAAGGAACGCCCGACGTTATTAGCAATAGCCGCCGGTTAGTTTTTGGGGGCCCCCATGCAAAAATTCAGTTAGGAATAGTCAGACAAAACAATTTTTACCGATCGCGAAAGAATAGCACCTAAAGGCTGACTTTCGACCAAAAGAGGTCAGATGTCAATCTTGCTGAAGTGCCCATCAGGGAGTTGAGGACCGAGGACCGCTCGGAGAGCGGGGGTGGATGGAGTAGGTTCTCCTCGCTAAATAGCTGGGGGGGAAGCTCCTACTTCAGGGCACTCAACCCGGGAGAGGGCATGGGGGGGGGAGAGGCCACCTCTCAGATCGAAGTCTTCCAAAGTACTTCCAAATCGGTATTACTTAGCGTTTCGAGATTCAATTACCTACAATTGTGCTCTATGAGATCAAAATTACAAAAAATTCAGCAATTAGAGTAATACGATTATCCCTCAGGCACATAGGCATTGTAAATTGTGATTTCATTTCTCATTGTGATAGCACCGTCAACTTTCTGATGTTTTCCTGAGAGAGGTCTCAAAGACAAATCGTGAAAGGAATGTTTTCTACAATCAGACAAAATATCTCCTAAGGGATGCTGTGAAAGCTTCAGCTAATTAATTTGCCAAATTAGATAGGTGTTTGCTATCATCTAAACAAATATTTGATTGCTACCGACATCAATAAAATTGTACGTCCTCAGAAGCAAGAATTATAAATTGACCACATTCCAAATCATCCATTGATTACACACAACTAGGAACTCACACAGAATCAAAGATTGCCGAACCGATCGGTGCACGTTTCACTGTTCTACTTGTTCATCTGCAGGCCATCTACAAAGAGTTTGCATTAAGTCTCATAGAGTGTATCGAAATTCTGGAATGAGCACTCGAACGAAGTTGAGAATCTAGATCAGGCCTATTGAATCAACAATATGTGGATATTTATAAAAATAAAAACGTCAGCGATAATTCTTCAAAATACCTGATGACAGTTAAAATTCAAAGTCATCCACAACAGATTGAGGTCGAATCAGGAGCAGGTTTAACACTTTTACTCCGTTCGTGCTATCAAAATTGAAGTTTTTCAATATAAACATAAATCATCAGGATCTCTACATTGTTCCGGACGATTATTCTCCATTATTGGGTCTTGTATGGATTCGACATTTGGATAGTGATTTGAGAGAGCTGGACCACAATCACTTCGCATACCAACTCTATTGAAAACATTTTCATCAAATATGCTTCCAAATTCAAACAAAAAAAACCTATCAACTGTATATGTAGACCATTACATAGTGAAGAAGTCAACATTGGACATGCGCAGTATTAGCATATTATGTCTTAATCATAGTCCTACAAGTTCAAATTCGCTAACTTTCAAGTTCACCTGTTAAGAACAAAGACTGAGACAAGGACATGAAACGTTGTATAGATGTTTTTATTGAAACAAACATTTTCTTGAAACTAAATTTAAGAGACTAGGTGAAACTTAAATTGGCCCTAAGTACTTGTGATGCAATGTTTGAAACCTTTGGTGTTGTAATGAATATTACTGAAGTTTTTTTTCCAACATCAAACCGTTATTTTAACACTTCGATCAGTTTGATCTTTCTTTTGAGGATGATCACTTGGTGATTCAAACACGTGTCGAGGTGTTAAAATAACGTTTTGGTGTTGGGAAAAACTCCAGTAATATTGGTCCTAAGTAGTATACAAACGGAGTCGTGTTTCTATTAATTGTTTGATATTCTTGTCTTCAAAAGAAATCGATCTTGTTGGTTCATGTTATTGCATATGTCCATATAATATTGATCTCTCTGGTTTATTTTGCAGACTAATCAGGAATGATTTAAAATGATCAGATTTCTATTTCAACACAATTCGATATTATTACATTCATATTTTTGTGTGGTTGTCGATTGGATTTCTACTTCTAACCCCCAAAAAATTAAAACTCAACATCACATCAGTTTTCGAGAAGCTTAGCAAGGTAGTGTTAAAATTATCACTTTTAAATATAAAAATTTAGACAGGTAGTGATTTACTTATTGGCAAAGGCAGGTTGCATCTATCTCTTTTGAATGTGGCAAGACTAGCCCGCATCCAAAATTATTTTGAGTTTGTTTTTCAAGTATTTGACGAACAGCAGCTGAAATGAATCTACAAGTGAGCGCAGTTAATGTTTGAATTGAATAATAATAAAATGAATTAATACTGTTGAATATTAAAATTTGTTCCTGTGAGCTTTCGAATACTAGAATAATGTTAATATTTTTTGTTTCAGTTGGAATCATGGTTCAAAACGGGATCGACAAAAAAACCAACGGGAGTCCGACCCACTTCGACGCTGGCAGCACGGCCCAATTCGGAGACCGATTTCGTAGACGCTGACGAAGATTATCAGAAGATGATTGATATGATGACCAAAGAAGAAGTCAATGTAAAAATTGAGGAACTTCTGGTGAGATATTTCATTTTTTCAGTTTCGCTTCTGTTCATGTTTCCCTTTTATGTTCAATACAAAAACTTTGGGGATCGACAGGAAATATTTGAAAATAGAAAATTTTATTATTCAGAACTATAAATATTCTTTACATTTATAAGTCCTTACATGTGACCATTTATATGTGAAAAGAAAAATAGTTACTCTTAAAACTGTTGATATTCGCAAAACCTGCTTTCAACAAAAGTGTGTTTTCTTATCGAAATCCTAGATTTCATTTTAAAATTAACGTTATCAACTAGTATAGTGTTTATTCTGTATTGCAATTATCTTTTCTCCTAATTAACAAACAAATTTCCAAATAGTAAGCTCCTTGATATAGAACCGAGTGTGCAAGGTTAACTTCATTATGTACTCAAGTTTCGTCTGCTAACAAATTAATTAATTCGCAATCAACGAGTTGATTGATACCATTTAAATACAGTATGAAGCAAAGCAACCCTAATACTTCGACTTGAGGTACCCCAAGTCACTCTTAATTTTCGAATTCGCTCAGAAAAATTGACTTCTATCAAAGATAATAATTGTAATATAGTTTATAGTTAAAAGACCTTAGTGAGAAAAGTAAAGTCTTCAGGTTAATATATTAAAAAACCTTTTTTCTTATCATTTTTATCTTTTTTTTATATGCATATTGAAACTTGTAAATGCTGATTTGTTATTTTCTGTTTGCGGATGTTTCTTTTAACTCGTTATCAACTTTTTTATTCTGACTCTGAAAGTAGCCACCGTGTTAGGAATCACACATTGAAAAATAAGACCTCGTTAGTCCTTAACTCGCACAAGTTTCGACTTCTAAGGTTTGTCGTTCGTAAAGGTGCGACAGCTGGTTAACGGAAAAACATATTTTGTATAAGCTGTACAACCAACCGTTGCTGAGCGTCTTGTTGCGAAAGATGAGATCTTTTGTCATTTGCTGTTTTTGGGGTTTTAATTATTGCCTTCAGTGTTTCTAAAATATCTAGTGAAAACCACTGAATCTGCTTCAATCTTCTTCAGTACCGCGTATTCCGTCGCTGATAGGTAAAGTTGAAGGTGAAATACGACGATACTGACTTGAAAGAAATCTGAAATTAAATATCACTCACTAAACAGATTTTTGAAAAGCTAAGTGGCTTGTCGAAAAATCGGACTTATTTGTCGGAGTTTGAATAAGTGTAAGCCACAATAAAACCTTGCGGGTTGCGGCGGAGGGTCGAATAGACCCACTCACTTTGGATCTACCTACTTACTATTCACTTTACTTCCTTACTCGCTTACAATTTATAAGTTTGACACACCTTCAATTATTTTCGGATTCGCCAGTATTGAAAATGTTTAAAAAATCGTTCATCAAAATTATATTGAAAATCCTCCCTATTGTTTCAAATATTGGTGCAACATTTTCTAGTTGAGTACCTCATAAAGTGTTAATGAAATTGATAACTTTGCAGTGAAAGTTCGAATTTACTTCGTTCTTGATTTCATTACCAATTAATGTTTGTAAAGTAATTTTAAATAAGAATGAGATATATTTTTTATCGTTATTCGGAAGTTATGCCAGAAATGAATTTAATGTTCTTTGGAAACTATTGCAAGTATATTTGTGTTGCAAATTGTCGGATGTTTCCGGGTTTATTAGCCGTGATCTGCAGGTGTTTATACCTGACGTTTCGTCTGCTACTGCGGCAGACATCAAAGGCGATGCGGCAACTGACGAAATGATCTACCGTGTTGCGATGTGTGAATTGAGAATGGTCCTGGTTCATTTGTACTGATAATGGGACTAGGTGTCGAATGACTGACTGCTGTTGTACCTGATTGGTCCGACCCTTTTTCAATTATTAGGAGAATCTTTGTATTATGAAGTGTTATGTTTGAGCTCTCTTCCTTACGGTTGAAATTATTCTTATGGATGAATAGCCTCGGATAGTAACCTCTGGTTTTATCAAGAACTTGCGTGTGTTCGAAGGCAATGTCATGGCTGCCCTCTGAGAGAGCGTGTAGTGCAACTGCCGATTTATCTATTTGGCCATAGCGGCAACTTATTTTGTGTTAAATGTGTTTTAACATTTATTTTCGTTGTTCTGATGTAGAACGAACCACAACTACACAGTATTCGGTATACTCTTACTCAATGAATGGTACTTAATGGATCCCTGGGGTCTTTTGCTGGCCTGACACAGGCCGGATTAGCCACGTAGCAAAAGTAGCAAATGCTACGGGCCCCACGACTCGAGGGGCCCCTCGGTCCAATTTCCAAAATTGTGCGCTGGCCACACCAAAAGTTATGCGTTGTTCTACTTTCACTGCACTACACGCAAGTTGGCACCACTGCAAAACGGGAATTTTCTGATATTTTCATCGAACGAGCTAGTCGTAACAACCCGATCAAATTAAATAGGATTCAAACAATAATAAAATGATGTATATTTACGTTTGACACAACATAAAAAAACTTTTGAAACCACTTTAGATGTGAGCCATTTTTGAGAAAATTTGTGTTGACATTGCTTCCAGTACTAGCTACGTCCAAGCAATGCGATCCATATTTCTAGATATTGAGGCAAAAGCCAAAGATCTAACCGGCTATGCATAACATCAGCAACAGACTTCAAGACGATGCAAGCGGAATACAGAGTACGACCATTTCACCGGCTCTACTCCAGTCGACGACTTTCTTGAAAATGAAACACCCTGACAACGTTTTGAAATTCATGTGTTTATTGTCATTATTGATAACTATTGTCTGCTTTATCTGAACGTATGGAAGCATATCATAAAATTTCTGGTTGTTTTGGAGTATTTCGACATCTTCAATCCCTTACAAAAGAAGATATTTTGAAAAACGCCTCAAGTATGGTCAGTACTTACGAAGACGATTTGGAGAACAACCTAGGCGACGAATTAGTGCAGTTCGCTGAACTGCTAAAAACAGATGTGGCCACAGTTATTGACAGCAAGAAACAAGAGCTTCTGGAACTGCAATTTTATAAACTTTTATCAAATAATTCCTTAGAATCATGTTCCTCAAACGTAGGAATTGCCTTTCGTATTCACTTGTCTCTTATGATCACTAACTGCAGTGGCGAATGTTCTTTTTCAACGTTATGTTGAAACACGATGGGCCAAGAACGTCCTAATCATATCACTTTGATGAATATAGAATATGATTTGCCCAAAGAAGTAGATATATGAAAGTGTCATCTCTGAATTTACCTATATTAAATCCAGAAAAGTTCATTTGTAACAGTTTTGTTTTATTTAATACCCTTAACTTGAGAACCTATAGCAAACCAAGGGCCTCTTGACAGAATTTGCTAGCAGTCCCGCGCTGGCTTAACCCGACACTGGCCTGACACTATTCTCTATCGTTCTTGTGGGCTAGAAGAAGGATCGGATCAACCACGTACAAGCGCAATCGGTCGTCCAACACATAGATATATTATAGGTACGAAAGCACCAGGGCTATTTTCAGTTTGCGCATTGCAATAAGGTAGATCCCTTCGATTTTTGCCGCATCGCTTTTGATAATGTCTGCCGCAGTAGCAGACGAAACGTCAGGTATAAAAACCTGTAGACCACAGCAAATGAACAGGAAACATTGTTATACACCGGCCGTGAAGCCTACACACATTTGTGTTAGTCAATTTCTTCCCTGTTAGCCAAGAATTATTTTTGATTCAGATAATATGTCTTTTTTGGTATTTCTTTACATTAGCCTCTATTTATATTTCTCTGTTTTAGTCTTTATCAATTTCATTATAATTTTTGAACATGTTGTAAGCTCTAATATGCTGTAATAAACCACATAGCGATAAAGATATGCTATTTTCGGACTAATAATTGCTCATTATGTATTTTTATCTTGAAAACAAATAGTTTCTTCATGCTTCTCATTAGAGTTAGCCAAGCCAAATTGCACTCGCCTACTAAGTATTTTTGTCAAATTTTATCTACTTATATGTTTCCAAATATTGGCAAGAGCAATTCAAACCAGATTCCTGGTTCATAATGTTTTCTATCATAATGAAGGAATACCGATCAAAAGAGAAATATGGGACCATAACAAGGACTAGTTTTGACTAGTTTCAATTTAGTCTTTATACCGTGAATCGACTGAAGAATGAGTGATTTGCTTGAAAGCTTTAGTCTCTTACTTTTCAATACATTCAAAATATCTTTGGAAAATGAACTTTTGTAAAAGTGTAGGCTCTCCTTTCTAGTTCTAAGTAATCTTACAGTTTTGATACGATTTTGTTTGGGTGGACATCGAATTGCGATCAATTTTCAATTGAACATTTTCCCGAGATTCGATTAATCGCAGGAGCTTTCAGTTTATAGACGATACTTGAATTATACATTTTTCCTGACACCCAATAATTTATCAAGGAACAATTTGAGAATTAACAAATATGTACATACATAACAAGCTGTATTTCAGCAATGGACACTTTGAATCTAAAAAGGGTGTTGAGAGTTAGCACATAATTGATTTTGGAGTAGCAATGCCAGAATCATATTATTTTATCATTTCGAGAAATTATGTGTAATTATTGATGTGGTCACCGATAGTAGTGAAATAATATAATGCTTATATATTTTCATCCAAAAAATGAACTTTTTAACTGAAACTAAAATGAACTAACTTTTGGTCCAGTTCTAAATTTTTTCGATTATTTCTAAATTCTCTGTTGTATTTCAGAGTGACATGAATTTAACTGACGATAAAAAGAGGCCTCTTAGAGAAATGACATTCGAACACAAACGAGCTATGTTGGTTCAAAACCAGAAGAAAGGGCAACGAGAGACAGGCAACAGGTTCAATGAACCTGAAGACTACCACAAGTACCTGGAGCAGTACATAAATTCCGAGAATGTTCAGCTGTATAAGTTTCAAAATTGTGTAGAGAGTTTGAGAGTAGCTCTAGCCAATAATCCGCTCAGTTGGGTCGAAAAGTTCGGATCTGATGGTCTACAGAAACTTTTACAGGTGCTAGAAATAGGGTTAAAACAGTAAGTAGTAAGCTAGGATGATAGCTGATGGATGATAGACCTTGATTTTGTATAGCACCACTTGTGACAGGGTTTCCTGGTAATCGAATTTGTTTCATGTCAATCATATCGAGTGGTGCTTTCAAAAATATCAATGTTTAAATTAAAGTGAAACACAAAGTCAAATATTAAATTTTTCTAGTAGAGAAAGTAAAGAGGCCAGAGCCCTTCAGTCGGAATGTTTGAGATGTTTGGAGAAGTTCATGAACAACACAACAGGACTAAAGGCTTTTTTTAAAAATGCCCGTGGACATGTTTTGGTGGCTAGATGTCTGGATCCCGATAAACCTACTGTGATGATACAAGCTTTAAAGGTTAGACTTGAGAAATTGTCTTTTCTTTTTTGAAGAAGAATTCAGTATTGATATTTTTTTGTTCCAGATATTAGCTCCTCTGTGTTTTCTTGATGAAGGAGTACATGATGAAGGGTGCAGTAAAGTTCTAAAAGCTATCACTTTGGTGGGAGAAGAAGAACAGAGAGAAAGATTTTTGCCTGTTGTTAATGGCATTACAAAAACCAATAATGCAGACTTACAGGTAAGTTGGAAAAAATATACTGTTTGTTATGAAAACTTTTCAGTCAGGTTTTCTTTGATTCTGATTCAAAATTGTAATAATTTTAATCATTATAGGAGTTGAAATTATTTTAGTTTATTTTGAATAAAAGACTAGAATGATTTGATTTTAGGTATAAAAAAAAATCTTTTTATGATTTTCTACTTCTAGATCAAATATAAAAATGGGAAATTCTCAAAAAGAGACAAACAGAAAATAATATGCAAGCATAAAATATTTTAGAACTGTCAATGTGACAGGCTAGGTATTAGAGCCGTTCTCGATTGGTGATTGGTATCATCAGCGGTTGACGTAAAACATGAAGCAATTTTTAGTGTGGATGTGTTTCTGGTTCATTTGACAATGTTCAGTATGTTCCATTCAATGATTGTTATAAGGACACCAATTGTAATCATAAACACAAATACTTTACAAATAGGTGTCAGCTGTACATCAGATGCTGATAATATTAAACGCTTATCAAAGTTGATATTTTTCGAGACATTTGGAGTTCAAATTAGGAAAGAAAAAGTGATATCTGTAAACGAATGCATTATTTCACAAGCGATGCAATGGAAGGTCTGCCGAAACCAATCGATAATTCAATTAGTTTCAGAGTGAACACAAAATGATGTTTCAATCTGTATTTAATGAATAGTAACTTATATATTAAAATATCAGTTTTCAGACTTTTTGTGACATTTCACCATACTACCTAATAATGGTTTTGATTTAACATTATAAGTGTAAATGATTGATGAAACAATGATTTGTCCTTATCATTTGAGGAATATTTCATAAGAGAAACATTCAGTGCCATTTCAAAATTGAACTTATTCCTGTTCTGGAGAGAGAGGCTAGATGGACTACATATAGACTTGTGCACATTGCCAATTGCACAAATCAATTCAATGCAGAGTGCAACAGACTGTCGGTTGACACTGGAAGTCACAGCATTCTGGAAATGACCTCTGACTTCATGCCTCCAACTGTCAACTACGAACTGTCTTATAAAGTACTGTTTCCGAATAGAATGGACGGGATGCTTCGGTAGAAGGAAATATTAATGCAGATTGTTGTTGGTTCACAGATGAATCAGAAACACCTTCTGGTGCTGCTGCAGGTGTTTTAAGTCGCAGACCTAGGGCAGAGATATCAACCTGCCTAGGAACCTATGCGACTGTATTTCAAGCGGAAATTTACGCTATTGATTTGTTTGTGGAGAGATTGGAAGAATCCGACCTCATAAACAAGTCAATAAAAATATTTTGTGACAGTCAAGCGGCGTTGGAAGCTCTTAACTTCTACCGAGTAACGTCAAAATTACCAAAAACGACTCTCTTCGATAGGAAGACTTGACAGATTGTCTCTGGTCTGGATTCCTGGCCATACTGGCCTGGTAGGCAATGAGGTTGCTGACCCTTGCAAATAACCTGTCGTTGGCATCACTTTAGGCTTTGCTAAACAAAGATTGAACACCTAGATGGCAAAAAATTTATGGACTTCTGGCAGAATCTTCCAGGATTTGCTCACTCCAAGACGTTTATTCACCCTTTGAAGCTTGATACCAAACAGTTGTTGGACTACAGTAGGGATGAACTACGATGTCTAACACGCCTTCTTACACGTCACTATCATTTGAATCATCATATGCAGAGACTCGGACTGTCGGAAGACAGTGTGTGTCGCCTCTGTTTGGAAAATGATGAAACAGCATAGCATATACTTTGTGCCTGCCCCGCTGGGGACTGAGTCAGGGTTTTAGGGTTCTGCAGAGCCGTACTCTTGCCATCTGACCTGAAACAACACTCAGCTGGGTTTATTTGGTCGAGTGTGAATAGGTGTGAGTCACAATAAATCCTTGCGGGTTGCGGTGGAGGGTCGAATAGACCCACTAATTTTGGACCTAACCTAACCTAACGCAAAGAACATCTAATGTTGTGAAGTAGCAACTGATGTTTTTAAGTTTTTTTGCATAAAGATTTGGCAGGCGAGGACCAAAATATAATTGCCTCCTAATCCTCCAAATCTTCAACCCCGAGATTTTTTCGCTGGGATTATTTGAAGTTGAAGGAATATTAAGGATATACTGGAATATACTGAAGCTGGAAAATCGATTTATGGTTGAAATTACTCCAGAAATTATACGGACGAATGAGTCTGTAGATATGGTCGATGTAATTTCATTCAATTTTGAATTGTATTCCGTTTGTTGTAAAGTAATTCTCTAATATGTTATTTGTGTGTCTCGCTATTTCGCTCAAATGCCAATAAAACCCTCCTATTGATTTTCTAACGATATGTTCACTTGTTTCTTTCAAACAAAAATGTTTATATTGCCTTCACAGAAATTGCAAAGTTATACAACTTTAATTTTGTTCAATATCCAATATCTCAAACCTAAAACACACTAAAAACAAGAATAATAACACTAGAAATAATTGCTATATTAAGGAATATCAGGTATCCCTGAATGTTTTACAAGGTCTGTAAAATAAGGTAACACATAAACAATATTTTAATTTAAAATTTTTTATTACAACCCACTTCAAAACCGGTTACATAACCTATGTAATTTTGCAAACCATTGTTTGTATTCAATGAATTTGTTTAATAATCAAAG